GGGGGGGGGGGGGGAGCGCAATCAGGACCCTGATCACGACCGTCTATCTCAGGAGCGGCTGAACTGGGTGTGAGTCTGGGGCATCAATAGCCAAACCCTAAACCCTATAAAAACCCAAACCCTGAACCCTAAACCCTAAACCATGGGTCAGTCCTGCTGGTGCTGCTGCTGGTGTTGCTGCTGTTGCTGCTGCTGTTGCTGCTGTTGCTGCTGCTGTTGTTGCTGCTGTTGCTGCTGTTGCTGCTGTTGTTGCTGCTGTTGCTGCTGCTGTTGCTGCTGTTGCTGATGCTGTTGCTGATGCTGTTGCTGCTGCTGCTGGTCCTGGCAAGACGCGGCAGTCACTAGAGGAGCGGGTTCTCGCCAAACCCAGCTACCCCTGCACGCCACTACAGTCGTGATCTTCACCGCCTACCTCAACACCTTCTGCACTGCTTGTTTCGGCAAAATCCTGAACCCCAAATTGCAGTACCCTTCTGTGTTTTTTCAGTTGAGCCGTGATGAATATGTACGGAGTGCTGCTCGGCTTCGCATAAACTTGGGCATTGCTAGGCATGTACAGCTTTCGTTTACGCGGCACGCCCTCCACAAACGAAACCCACATGCAAACCTACACGAAACGCGGTTGCATCCACTTTTGCATAGCCAAATACCTTCGAGACATCACGCAAACCTACGCAGACAGGCCAGAGGGGACGATTTATTGCCATCTGAACCCCTGCTTCAATATTTGTTCGTATCTCTTCACCGCACAGTTGAGTACCCTAAACCCTAAACCCAAAACCCTAAACCCTAAACCCTTCAGGAAACGAAATGTGCAGCACAAATTGGCCTGTCGAGCTGCCGCATTGGACTGTTGGTCCTGCGTGAGGGCTGCGTGTGGGGCTGCATGATACCGACATCTGCGAATATCAAGTAAGCCCTAAACCCCAAACCCTAATCAAAACCCTATAAACCCTATAAGCCCCTGTAAACCCCTTAACCCCGAACAAACCCTGTAAATCCTATAAACCCAAAACCCGTGCGATTCGAGGTGCCATATGGCGGGAGGCTCCAAGGAAGGAATGTGAAATGTGCCTCCCTAAACCCTCGACCCTAAACCCTAAACCCGAAACCCTAAACCCTAAACCTCTGACATGATGACTTACGAAGTCCGCCGAACGAGGCAGGTCCAACAAGGCTCACTAGAGGATGGGTGGCCCCGGAGCATCTCAGGATCCAAACTCACCAGGAACAAGGGGTTTAGGGTTTAGGGTTTAGGGTTTAGGGTTTAGGGTTTAGGGTTTAGGGTTTAGGGTTTAGGGTTTAGGGTTTAGGAAGGAACGGCAGCTTCGACCTCGTATTGCCTCTCAGCCCGAACAGGAAAGCACACAAAAAGCGTCCGAGTAGAGCTTCTGCACGCACTGCGTGTAGTAGTTCCAGACGTAGGTCTCACGGGAGCCAAACATATAAAGTAGGGTTCATGTTTCTCGTATCCCTGGAGTCTCCGAAGATTTCTTGCATCCCCAGAAGGACACCAAGTATATGCACCCACCACCCAAAACCCTAATTAAACCCTAAACCCTAAACCCTAAAACCTAAAACCCAAGTATATGCACCCACCACCCAAAACCCTAAACCCTAAACCCTAAAACCTAAACCCTAAACACCAATGTTAAAAAGGAACCTTACATACACTGATCATGCCGGTGACTGAGCTCCTGGGCTTCTTTTGTTACAATTGCTTGTACCCTATAAGGGCAATATAGGGATTATAACTAGTAGTCGTATTCTTCTCATAGGTACTAACATAGCTAGCATTCTAGAAGGAATTACCCCATGTGCCGGCACTGCATAGGGCCGGCATGGGAAACTGGTTGTTACTAGTAATCTCATTACTATTGTTCTTTTCGTCTTATTTTGACAATTGTTTATATTTTTCGGTGTTCTTAATCAAATACACCTAAAAAAAGCCGGCACGGTAAGCACTACACGCGTGTCATTTTTCGGAACCCCAAAACGGGCATCCCTGTTTTGGCAACCCCATTTACTACGAAGCTAGACCTCGAAACCCGCCCAGGAAGTGGAACAGAGAGAAGCCCCGAAGCCGCGAACAAGGCAGGGACAAAGGTTTCTGAACCCCAACAACACTATAAGGCACACAAACCCTGTTGACCCGAACCCCCACAAACCTATAAACCGAAATAGCCCTAAACCCGAAACCCTATACCCTAAACCCTAAACACTAAACCCTAAACCCTATACCCTAAACCCTAACCCTAACGAAACCCCTCCCCCCCCCAAACCCTATAGAAACCCTACAAACCATAAGAAACCCAGAGCCCAAACCCGATCAACCCTAAACCCTAAACCCTGAAAACCCTAGAGCCTAAACCCTTTGAACCCTGAACCCCAAACCATTCACCCTACATCCAACAAACCCTAACCCCCCCCCCCCCCCCCCCCCCCCCCCAAAAAAAGAGAAAAAGTTAACCCTAACCCATAAACCCTACACCTTAACCCTAACGATCCCCCCCCCCCAACAAAAAAAAAAAAACAAAAACAAAATGGGGCCTGTACCGCCTCCCCGCTGCTTCCTTGGCTGACCAGTGCTTGCCTGTACTGGTTCACAGCCTGGCACGTGTAGGGTTTAGGGTTTAAGGTTTAGGATTTAGGGCTAGGGTTTAGGGTTTAGGATTGGGGTTTAGGGTTGAGGGTTTGGGGTTTAGGGTTGAGGGTTTGGGGTTGAGGGATTTGGGTTTGGGGCTTAGGGTTTTGGATTTGGGGTTTGGGGATTAGGGTTTGGCGTTTAGGGTTTGGGAGGGTTTCGCTGTTTTTCGGGCTTTACCACCTCTTTGCTACTAGGGTGTCGATGCTTTTGTGCTGAGTCTGCCGGTGTCACCCCCCTAAACCCTACACCCTAAACCCCTAAACCCCTAAACCCCTAAACCCCTAAACCCCTAAACCCCTAAACCCCTAAACCCCTAAACCCCTAAACCCCTAAACCCTAAACAACAAACCCTAAACCCTAAACCCTGACAGCCGACCAGCCGAGCCTGCTCAATTTGGGACCGCTGCTGCTGGGGCAGTTGCTGCAGCATGGAATTCACCACCTGCTGCTGCTGCATGACCTGCGTTTGGAGTTTAGGGTTTAGGTGTTCAGGATGAAGTAAGGCTCAAGTCGGGCTTTAAAAAGACCCTAAACGACCCAAACTCTGCAACGTCGTTAAGCGCAGAGGCTGCCACGTGAGCAGCTACTCGTGAGCAGCTACTCGTGTCCCAAAAGAGGCTCTTTCAGACTGTTATTCTAGGGTTGTTGGACCCGAAGGGCTTCTTACACAAGGTTTCTGTACCTATTTTGAGCCTAAGGGGTAGCCACATAATCTGTGGCAAAGAGCCTTCTGCAGCAAACCGTTGACCGTAGATCCATATAGGGGTGAATACACTTTATAATGGACCCTGGCGTGACGAAAGGGTTAGGGAACCTACTTTTGGGGGATTCTTTACCCAAGCCCCGGTGATCTGTGACAGTCACACTACACAGCTAGGGTGCGACCGAGGACCGTAACCGTAACTCCAAAAATCTCCAAACCTTGACACGCCCCCATGTGGCCTGTGCTTGGGTGGTGGCACATCCTTCGGCCATTGCACTGCAAGCGCCTGACTCACGAGGCTTCTGGGGATCTGGGTTTCGGGTCTTGGGGGCACAAGGGTTCCACCCTAAACCCTACACCCTAAACCCTAAACCCTCGGATCTCGCGCTCAGGAGCATGCGCGCCATGGCCTGAAAACCCTTGACCCAAATACCAGAAATAGATCCCGAGAAGCCCGAAACCCAAAACCCTACTTGGAGGTTCACGGATACTTACAGGTATAGGGTTGCAAGTAGGGTACGTAGGGTTATGACCCTACTTAGGGTACTCAGAAAAACCCTAAACCCTAAACCCTCAACCCTCAACCCTCAACCCTCAACCCTAAGCCCTAAGCCCTAAGCCCTGTTCTGAGCGGTCCCAAACTCATTGGGAAGAAAGAGCCCAGATCAAGACAGAGCATGCCGGAATGCTTGGCTCAAAACCCGGGAAGAAAAGCGCCAACCCTACTTATCCCCTTCAATCATGGCTACCCGTGAACCTGCAAGCAGGTGCAGAGCACGCCTTGCTGCGCCAGAGATGTGTTTAGGCGCACGCCATCAAAACTACAACAGGAAGGTCCTCGGAACCCGAGTCAAGAACCCCCAGAGGAACCGTAGGAACCATTGCTTTGGTGCATCTGAGTGTGGGTAGGCTGTAGAGAGTAGGCTGGAAGAGTAAGGTCGGGGCTTCCACAAGGGGGCCTGCGTGGACTGATGCGACGAAGCTACCAGAAGCTACTAGCATATGGGGGGCTTACGAAGTTAGGGACCCTACTATTATAGACCCTAAACCCTAAACCCTAAACCCTAAACCCTAAACCCTAAACCCTAAACCCTAAACCCTAAACCCTAAACCCTAAACCCTAAACCCTAATTTCGGAAACCCCCCATATACAGACTGGGAAGGGCAACAGTGCTTGTGACTTCTGCGTGGCTCATGTTGTCGAAACCCTCAGCACTTGGAGCCAGGCGTGCGCGTTTCGCAGGACGAAGAATCAGAGTCGCAGCGCGCCACTTCTATGTGCAGGTGAGAGCAGCTTCCCTATGTAGGGAAGACGAGCTCCTCCGAGCAAGACCAAGATTTGAAGTACCTAAGCACATGGAAGGCCTTTTTTTTCTTGCTCGTAGAGTCAGCGAAGCGAGCTTTGCTCGGGGGTTCTGCGGTCCTAGATGCCGCCCCCATGTTCGCATGGAACTCACCAGACGGGGTTGGATTCCCGGCGTGTTCAGGTGGAGATTTTGCTTGCCAGTCGACCCAGGTGCTGCAAGAAATTTCAACAGCAGGTGATGGGGCCCGGCGCAGATCTCGTCGCTCTTGAAAGACGGCCCATTCTGCGGAGCCTTTCCGCTCTCTATGCGCAGGCGTCCGCGCGGAAGACTCTTCGCGCTGCTCCTATGCGTGCAAGAGGCCCAGGACCGTAGACAGTCTTGCCTGGCAGGGGGGCTCCCAGAGGGCATGCTGGCATGTTGGGTTGCTCTTTTTAGCAGCCTGGGGAACAGGCATGTCAAAAAAAAACCAGCAAGGTACCCTAAACCCTAAACCCTAAACCCTAAACCCTAAACCCTACACCCTACACCCTGAACCCTTTATAAATCCTAAACCTTAAACCCAATTCCCTACAACCAGTGGCCTCCTCGTCAACATTCTCGCACTCCGCAATCGCACCTTCGAGCTTCTCCTGAAGGGTTTTAAGGGTTTGCGGTGTTTAGGGTGTTTGAGGTTTGGGGTTTGTGGGGTTGAGGGTTTTTGGTTTAGGGCTTAGAGTTTTTGGCCCTAATATGAGCCCTTAGCTGGGAAACTGTATATACCCCGTATATACCCTATCAAACCAAGGGCCCCTAAGCCCTGAACCCTAAACCCTAAAACCCTAAATCCTAAACCACTTTAGAAGCCTGTAAGGAAGGTGAAGGACCGTGTTGAGGGACCTGGAACCCTGAACTTCACTAAACCCCTACAGGCCCCCCACACGGCTTACGAAGTGCTTGGGTTTAGGGTTTAGGGTTTAGGGTTTGGGGTTTGGGGTTTAGGGTTTAGGGTTTAGGGTTTAGGGTTTAGGGTTTAGGGTTTAGGGTTTAGGGTTTAGGGGTTTAGGGTTCAGGGGTTTAGGGCGTAGCTTTGGGTGCCAAGCTGCGGCCAAGAGCTGCGACTGGGCGTCCAGCGGCTGCGCGTGGTCGAGCTGCGCACCGTCAGTTTGGCACCCTGGGCTCCCACCCTAGTGGCTCTTCTTTTGGGGGAGTTTAGGGTTTAGGGTTTAGGGTTTAGGGTTTAGGGTTTAGGGTTTAGGGTCTAGGGTTTAGGGTGTAGGGTCTAGGGTTTAAGGTTTAGGGTTTACAAGAGTTAAGGCTGATTTGTGGGATTTACAACTCTTCGGGTTTAGGGTCTATGTTTACAAGTCCGCCGACCCTGGCGGCGTGTTGGATGGGAAAAGGAGGTGAAACCTCCCTCTTTCCCTCCTTACCCCCCCAAAACGCGGGGGGGGGGGGGGGGGGGGGGGGGGTGGGGGTTCGGTGCACAATTTTTTCGTGGAGGACCGCGCCACCCGCACAGCGTCAACAGGGGGTTCAGCACGGGGGGGTAGGGGCGCCCTCAGCACAAAATCAGCGTTTCCCGCCTCCCACCCCCCCCCCCCCTGCCCCCCCCCCCCCACCCGCCCCCCCCCCCTCCCCCCCCCACCCCCACCCCCCCACCCCCCGACCTGTCTTTTTGGCTTGAGCTTGTCCTGGTGCTACCCCCTACCCCCCCCCAAACGATTCACAGAACTCTGCCGGGGATGATCTTCCATGCGAGCGGGTCTCAACTATGCTCCAGCGGGGTCGGCGGCTTGAGCCGGAGGCTCTTAAATCTTAGGGGAGATACAGGCGCGTGGTTCGTGCTTTTGGGCTCAAAGTTTCAAGTCTTTTCGCGCTCGTATTCTTTGGAGGTTCAGGGCTTCGAAAAGCAAGCAGCAGTCCCCGCGACCATAGGACCTTCACTATACTTCTGGTGGCATCCTTACCCAAACCCCTAAACTCTAAACCCTAAACCCTACTCCCCATGGGGGCTCAATTGGCTGAAGCAACTGGCTCGTCACGCTAGGCCACCTGGGCGCCTCCGTAGCCTAAACCAGAAGGGTTTAGGAGGTTTAGGGTTTAGGGTTCAGGCGGTTCAGTGTTTAGGGTTGGGCATTAAGGGGTCTTAGAGTTTTGAGGGATACCCGGGGCATGTAGGGCAGTCTTCAATTGAACACTTCGTAGGGGTTCGGATTCATTCGTTCCGTTGTGGAATACCCTGACCCCTGAACCCTGAAGCTCCAAACCCCCTAAACCCTAAACCCTAAAACCTAAACCCGAAACCCTAAACCCTAAACCCTAAACCCTAAACCCTGCGTTCCCCACCCTTTCACGCCCCAATGCTACTTCTGCAGAGCCCGTGACGTTTGCGCAGCCGGACCAGACGCTTTGCAAACCGATCATGTTCACCTCACCAGACGTGGGGTTTAGGGTTTAGGGTTTAGGGTTTAGGGTTCAGGGTTTAGGGTTTGGGGTTTAGGGTTTAGGGTTAGGATCCCCTAAGCCCTACAAAGAGTAAACGCTGAGCCCTAAGGCCGTGCCCAAGACTAAATCCTTATATCCTTAGGCTCTGAACAGGGCGCTCCCCCTTCAGCCCTAAACCCTAAACCCTAAGCCCCAAACCCCCCCAAACCCTAAACCCTAAACCCTAAGCCCCAAACCCCCCAAACCCTAAACCCCAAACCCTAACCTCGGCTTACACAGGGGGACTTGTGAAAGAAGGCTCTCTGCCAACCAGGAACGGACCAGCCATGCTCGATGGCCTCCATCAAGGCACACCTCAGTCAAGGCTTACACCAGGACAGGCAGGTAGTGTTTAGGGCCTAGGGCTTAGGGTTAGGGTTTAGGGTTTAGGGTTTAGGGTTTGGGGTTTGGGGTTTGGGGTTTGGGGTTTGGGGTTTGGGGTTTGGGGTTTGGGGTTTGGGGTTTGGGGTTTGGGGTTGGGGGTTTGGGGTTTGGGGTTTGGGGTTTGGGGTTTGGGGGTTGGGGGGTTGGGGGGTTGGGGGTGGGGGGTTGGGGGTTTGGGGTTTGGGGTTTGGGGTTAGGGTTTAGGGTTGAGGGTTGAGGGTTAGAGTTTAGGGTTTGGGGTTTGGGGTTTAGGAAGTCCCCCACCTCCTATATCTCAATACTTGTGTGTGCAACCGGCCTGCAGCTCACAGACCCGAAGACCCTGAACACAAAACCAAAAACGCCCTGACCCTAAAAACATAATCCTAAACCTCTAAACCCTATACACCCTATATAAACCCCTCAACCCCTAAACCAGTAACCAAACCCTAACCTAAACCCCTAACCCTTACACACCCTAAACTCTAAACCCTAAACCCTAAACCCTAAACCCTAAACCCTAAACCCTAAACCCTAAACCCTAAACGTTTCCGGACATGCCGCCGGGGGCAATCCGGAGGTCTTGGCCCAGGCCTCCATGGCCAAGGCGCAGGAGGCATGGGCCTCGGTGTTAGGGTCTAGGGTTTAATTAGGGTTTAGGGTTTGGGGTTTAGGGTTTAGGGTTTGGGGTTTAGGGCTTAGGGCTTACTGGCTCAAGGCTTGGGCGGCTGGGAGCTTGTGGGGGGGATGAGGGCTCCCCTGGGCCGAACTGAGGGTTTCCAGTGTCGTTTAGGGTTTCGATGGGTTCAGGGGTTTAGAGTTTAGGGTTTGGGGTGGGTTTAGGGTTCTGATGGGTTTCGGGTTTCAGGTCATGAGGCTTGTCGAGTAGGGTCCATAAAACAGGCGTATGACAGGGGCAGGTGTTCAATTTGGGCCCTAAACCCAAAGCCCTAAACCCTCAACCCGAAACCTTAAGCCTTAGACCCTAGACCCTAGACCCTAAACCCTCGACCCGACCCAATTTCGGGCGTGTTGGTGACGGCTTGGGCTCCTTGATTCGACCGCAAATTCAAAGGCTGATGCATCCCACGCAGCGTGGGCGTAGAGCGCGCATCTCGGGGGCTTCCTCGTGGTCTCGCTGAGGCTTCCTTGGCAGCACTCAGTCTCCTCGAGTTCCAGACCCGATCATTGATACCCACCTTGGGATGTTCCCCAGTATACTAGCAGTCCTTAGTAGGGGGTACTAGAATCCTTATTAAGAACTGCTCAAAAAAGGGGCAACATCCCAATACACACCCAAGGAAAACTACATAAAGAATTCCAAGGGGCTCAGTACCTACCAATTGCTTAAGAACCCGCCAAAAATGAAAAATGTTCTTCCTTATAAGGGTAATATAGGGATTATTCTTTTTGCTTCATCATTATACTTTTTTGGGGTTCTCAAGTAGGACAGGGTGAGATTGGGGCTCAAGGTCAAGGCTTCAGCTAAGCTGAACAATGTCTGCGCACAGCCGTAGCGCTTGTCCACAAAAAGCCAATGAACAAACATCAATTCTCCCACCTGCAAAGATGTTGGGTTTAGGGTTTAGGGTTTAGGGTTTAGGGTTTGTTCCTTAAGTCCCGAAGCCGGCTAAACAAAGACAAGACCCCCCCAACCAAGCCAACACGCACCAGCGAGTTTTTGAGAAGACTCTTGAGCTTTCATCCCCTGAGCTATCGAACCCTGGACACCAAACTACCATTTGCCTAGGAACACCCCCCCACCCCACCCCTCCAAACACAAAAACAAAACCTTGTCAAGGGACATTTTTAGGCATTTTTGCATGTGATATTCGTGGGGTAATCAAAGATCTTCCTTAGAAGGGCAATGTAGGAACTATCATCTCTGATAATTTTTAAAGGGGTTCTGAACCGAAGAGTAGTAGGAACACCCCGCCCAACCCCAACCCCACCCCACCCCCCCAAATGAATCCTTTTTAAGGGCAATCTAGGGACTATCATCTTTGATATATGTATGTATATATATATATACACATATATATATATATATATATCTACTTTTTACTTCCTAATTAAGGCAATACAGGGACTATCATCTTTGATATACATATATATATATATGGTCGCCCCCCCCCCCCCCCCCCCCCAATGGACCAACCTCCAACGCCAATGGACCCACATCGACATGTCCAAGGTTCTCGAGACACTGTACCCTGCCATGCTTTCCCTGTCGACTTCTTTGTGCTTTTTGTGCTTCCTGTGTTTTTTTGCGCTTTGTTTCGTGTTTTGTTTTTGTTTTTTGTGATTTTTGTGCTCTTTTGTGATTTTTTTTCTGTTTTTTTCTGCTTTCTTGCACTTTTTGCACTTTTTGCACTTTGTGCACTTTTTGCACTTTTTGCACTTTTGGCACTTTTTGCACTTTTGGCACTTTTTGCACTTTTTGCACTTTTTGCACTTTTTGCACTTGTTCGTGTTTTTTTTTCTAATTCCGCACCGTGTTTGCAAATGTTTGTCCTCTTGAATGTGCTTTCAAAATCCAAAAGTCAAAAATCCAAAAATCCAAAAATCCAAGGTTCTCGGACAATCTCCCAGGAAACTTTGGATTTTTGGATTCTTGGGTTTTTGGATTTTTGGACTTTTGGGTTTTTGGACTTTTGGGTTTTTGGGTTTTTGGATTTTGAAGATTTTTCACATTCGAGGCACAGGATATTAAATGGCAGATTCTCGATGGTTTTGATTATACTGTTTCTGTATATGAGAACCATGTCAAGTCTTACTTTTTCAAATCACTGAGGTAAACACGTACATGTGTTATGCACAGGCCTTTGCTAAGCAGGCTTTAGCAGAGAAAGCCCATATTTGCCATTATCTACTTTTGTGCATCTAAGAGAAGCTCAATTATCATTTTTCCAAGAACAACCATTCTGGGATCCTAGTACCTGCTGCTTAAGAAAGGTTATATGTCATGAACACCCTGACTTTGCAATAACGAGTGTTTTAAGCCTCTGATCCTTCAATTCAGGCTCTGAATATTGAGTTGCCCACCTGTGATTATTACAGTAAACCCTGCTCGAATCTGATTAACGTCTTAACTTCGTACTCGATTGAAGACGGTATCATTAAAATCCTAAGTCGCCTGCTCACAAAGCCAATGAGATTTCGAAATATCCTACTCAAACAGCCAACAAGAGGCTGAACAGAAGCGTTCAAGACAGTAATAGGGCTTAGGCCCAATATACTGCTAGTGCACTGTCCACTCGAGGGTCAAGGACTTCCCCTATGGAAGTGAAATGTCCACTCATTTCCAGGGCGCGCATTTCATGCCATGAGGTTCGGTTGAACTTTTATTTTATAGTCTTGCATATAGAGCCCCTGTAAGTAGCTCGTGTATGTAAGAGGGCGGCCCTTCAAAGGTACCCTTATCAAAGTTTCAATGGCGTCCTAAGTACTCGAAACGTGAACACAAAATAAACAGGATATTAGTGGCATATTCTAGAAGGTTTTGATTATACTGTTTCCGTATATGAGAGCCGTGTAAAGTCTTGGTTTTTCAAATCACTGAGAAAAACACGTACATGTGTTATGCACAGGCCTTTGCTAAGGAGGCTTTAACAAAGAAAGCCTATATTTGCCAATATCTAATTTTGAGCATCTGAATTATCAATTTTTCCAAGAACAACCATTCTGGGATCCTAGTACCTACTAATGTTGCACCCTGTTTAGTGTGGGGGGCCCCCCCCCCCCCCACCCCCCCCCCCCCCCCCCCCCCCCCCCCCCCCCCCCCCCCCCCCCCCCCCCCCCCCCCTGAACAGTTGAGGCGTGGATGGGATCTTGATTACACGGTCCCGGGGGCTCATATGATTTCAATTGGGAGGAGTTTGGATAGGTTCAAAAGGGGCAGCGATGCCCGGTTATCTTTTTTAAAGGCGCGCCGCGTGGAATTTTCTTACGGCGCCCGGACGATTTGTCTTTAAAGAGGGACTCCCAAACAGTCAGCATGTCCTGAATAATTCGGCCAGTTTGTCTTTAAAGAGGAGGCCAATACTAAACAGGGTGCAACATTATTTAGAAAAGGTTATATCTTATGAAAGCCCTTACTTTGCGATACGAGTGCTTTAGTTTTTTGAACAGGATTCCAAGTAGTTCACTAGCCGGAGACTGGACCTACTACTTTCTTGAAATCGCTTTTTGAGCAGGATATTTCAACATCTTATTGGCTCTTTGAGCAGGCTACTTGGGATTTCATTCACGCTTTGGGTAGTTTGGACTTATTTGAAATTCTGACAAGGGTACATGTGAATCCGCCCTCTTATAAATCAAAAACAAGGAGAACCTCGAATATGAAAAATCCTCAAAATCCCAAAATCCAAAAGCCAAAAAATCCAAAAACCCAAAAATCAAAAAATCAAAAAACCCAAAAACCCAAAAACCCAAAAATCCAAAAATCCAAAGTTTCCTGGGAGGTTGTCCGGAGAACTTTGGATTTTTGGATTTTTGGCTTTTTGGATTTTTGGCTTTTTTGAGTTTTGGATTTTTGATTCAAGAGGACAAATATTTGCAAAAACATTGCGAAATTATGAAAAACACCAAAAAGTGCAAAAAGTGCAAAAAGTGCAAAAAGCACAAAAAAAGCACAAAAAAGCACAAAAAAAAACACAACAAAAGCACAACAAAAGCACAAAAAAACACAAAAAACACAAAAAAACGCAACAAAAGCAAAAACGCACGAAAAAGCACAAAAAGCATTAAAAAGCACAAGCCCAAAAATCCAAAAACCCAAAAAACCAAAGTTTCCTGGGAGATTGTCCGGGGAACTTTGGGTTTTTGGATTTTGGGTTTTTGGACTTGTGGACTTTTGGATTTTTGGACTTTTGGACGTATTTTCCATTTCGCGGTTGGTCCATTGGGGGGGGTGAGCATATATATATATATATATATATGGGGTTGTGAGTTCTGAACCATTAAGAGTAGTGAAATTGGGACAAGGGGCGGACCAGGTAGAGGAAGTCTCTCTCTGCTGGACGCCCATGAGACTGGTCCACCACCTTACATCTGGCTGGTTCTTAGTAGGGTTTGGGGTTTGGGGTTTGGGGTTTGGGGTTTAGGGTTTAGGGTTTAGGGTTTAGGGTTTAGGGGAATGAGGGAATGAGGTACCCCTATGTAATCCCTTAAAGGGTATAATATAGGACCCTAATTCCCGCCAGAGAGTGCGCGGTTTAGGGTTCTCAGCCATGTTGAGCTCGGGCTGGGGGGATGTTTGTCAAGCTTCCCAATACAAGCTCCCAAAGCATACCAAAAGAGCAACCACTTTCATACGACTTGTCTCCGAAGAGTTGCGGACTTGCGGACTTATCTGCAGGGCTTTTTTGTTTCTTCTTTGTCTTCTTCGAGTGGGCTGGTCATTCATTGGTCATCAAGGACGACCGACGGCAACAAACAGTTGCTAAAATCCATGATCTTTCGCAAGGAGCGCGGCGCGCCCCGGACGTGTACAACTCACAAAGCGCATGCGAGAAAGCAGAACCCCCAGGAGCCCCAAAACAAAACATGAATCATATATGTATATATATCTATACTATATTCTATTCTCTATTATATTATACTTTGTTATATGATATTGTATTCTCTCATATTGTATTGCATTATATGATATTATATTAGATTATAGTATATTACATCATATTATAACTTTCATGATTACTATATATATATATATATATATATAGATTTTTATTTATTTATTTATACTTATATTTGTTTATTTATTTAGTATAACAGAGGCTTTCTCGGATCCACCGGGCAGGCGGCGGCCACACACCAAATTACAAATCGATATCTCCCGCGAGGGGTCTGGGAGAACACCTCCTACTGCCCTACTCCCTGCGTTTAGGGTTTAGGGTTTAGGGTTTAGGGTTGTGGGTGGTCTGACTTTTTGGGGTTTTTCCCCCTCCTGCACAGCTGGGGCGAATCGGGTTTACGGTTTTGCGTGTAGGGTTTTCTTGCCGGATTTTCGCCAATTTGGCGAAGACCCACGGCCAAAGAAGCGGGGGTGTCGCGACAAGAACCCCCCGAGTCGCAGCCTTCTGGGGCTTGGGTTGCACTGGAAGGCAGCTGGATAGAATGGGATTTCGGGCCCTTTGTCCTTCTAATCCTAAAGCCTCAGGGGTCCTTGAGAAATGACGTGCATTGGAACGGGGCGATGGCGGCACAAAACGGTCGACAGCAGACGCTTCTAGGACCACGCAGCAAACATCCAAGACGTACTGGGGAACATGATGCGCAAAGTTTCAACCCTATCCCAAATCCCTCCCTAAACCCTAAACCCTAATCCCTAAACCCTAAACCCTAAACCCTAAAAGCAGTAACGGTGTCCATGGCCCGCCATCGACCGGAGGCCATGATGGGCAAAAAGTGCAGGGGGCCAATGGCAGCTGACATGTCGTGGCTCTTTAAAGGCTTTAGTCCTTCAGGGATATGGGGGGGGGTCAATCCCCAAGTTGAAGCGAGGGTTTAGGGTTTAGGGTTTAGGGTTTAGGGTTTAGGGTTTAGGGTTTAGGGTTTAGGGTTCAATCTAGAGCTGCCCAGCAGCCCTGCCCGAGGCACCCTTTACAACTTCGGCGCCCCTTGGAACGAGATTTCCCGCAGCGCACGCACAAAGCACCGGGTTTAGGGTTTAGGGTTTAGGGTTTAGGGTTTAGGGTTTAGGGTTTAGGGTTCAGCTCCTCCCCCCCTCTCCAAAAAAAAGAATCTTCCTTGCAAGGGAAGTATACGGATTATTAACTCTTTTTCGGGGCTTCGTAAGCAACTAGTGCAGTGGATATTGGCACGTTCCCCCTTATTCATAACAGCCCTGAAAAGGGATTATAAGAGGGGGTACTAGAATCCCTGTCAATTAAGGACTGTTAGAATAAGGGGGGAACATCCCAAAGTAGATAAAATTAGTACCACTTTGTTTAGATCCCTATTAATTAAGGACTGTTGTGAATGAAGGGGGGGGAACATCCCAACCCTAAACCCTAAACCCTAAACCCTAAACCCTAAACCCTAAACCCTAAACCCTAAACCCTAAACCCTAAACCCTAAACCCATTAAATGAAAGCAAGCCGCGAGGTCGCAAAGGTTCCAGCCATCCTTGAGAGCCACGTCGCGGAAGAGCTGAAGGGCGTTGGAGTCCCGCGTCAGGTACGCCTCACTGGAAGTTGGTTTAGGGTTTAGGGTTTAGGGTTTAGGGTTTAGGGTTTAGGGTTTAGGGTTTAGGGTTTAGGGTTTTAGGGTTCAGGGTTTACGGTTTAGGGTTTGATTTTGTTTGCAACACAACACACACACACACACACATACACTCAGAGAACGCACGCATTCTCGCTCTCTCACTCTCACTCTCTCTCACTCACTCACTCCCTCTCTCCCTTCAGCATTTAGCTGCCTATCTGCTTTCCAGCATATTCACTTAAGCTACCCAGCAGACTCTGTGTCCGCAGCAGCCTCTCGCAGCCAGGAGGCTTGGAGGGCACAAGGCTTGGAGCTTGGAGCCAGCACCCCACGGAGGCTGCGTGTGAGGGCGCCGATGCGCTCCTCCGCCGTCCTCGTTGCCGAGGCCTGCGCCAAGTAGTGCCTTGGGCGATTTAGGGTTTAGGGTTTAGGGTTTAGGGTTTAGGGTTTAGGGTTTAGGGTTTAGGGGTTAGTTAGGGCTTTGGTCTTGGGGGTTTGTGGAGGTTGGGTGTAGGGCTTAGGGGGATCGTCACCCTATACTTGCAATCCCAGTTATATCTAACCGTGAACCTCCAAGCATCTTAGACCCGAGGATATCTCAGGGAAATGTTGCATCTACCAAATAAGCCACCATATGGGGGCTTCCCAAGACACTACAGGGGTTCCTCTAGCACCCCTATTCTGGGAAATGCCCTTATGATCCCTAAACCCTAAACCCTAAAACCCTAAACCCTATAGGCCCTTATGGATCTTATGGTCTCCGGAGGTACACCGCAGACACGCTGAAGCAGAGGTCGAAGACGCCAGCGCGAAATGGCAAGGGCTGCGACAGATCGCAGCGCAAGCGCTCGCCGGACAATGGCGATGGCTGGGATGACACCTGTCTCAGGGGTTTCCCGAATAGCCCCCCTAGGTTCCCCTCTTAAATAACCTCAATTAGGCTTAATTATACCGAAATAGCCTTAATGAAGGGCGGGAACCTACAGGGGGGGGGTGGGGGGGTAGTATGGAGGGGGTAGTAGGGGAACCCCTGACTATCAGGTCAGGCCGGCTCAGCGTCGTGTGGCTTTCCCCCACCCTCTTCTGCAAGAACATACGAGGCCAGGTTTGTAGCCTCCTCCTAAACCCTAAACCCTAAACCCTAAACCCTAAACCCTACACCCCCACCACTGCAGCCTCCTCCCACTCAGGGGATCTCAGCATCTCCGAGGAGAGGTCGATGCCAATGGTACCCAGGGTGGCCGCGCGCACGCCGCCTCTGGGACGAAATGAAGCCTACAAGGGCTTCTGTGGCCCTAAACCCTAAACCCTAAACCCTAAATGGGTATACATGATCCCCATTTTGCGGGGCTCAATTGGTTTTCAAGGAACCGGCCACTGCAGTGGAGAGGCCGCTGCCACAACCCAGGTCCACCTGCCATTTGTGGCTTAGAGTTGAGGGTTAGGGTTTATATGCGCCAGCATAGGCGCACCCCCCCCCTCCCCCCTCCCCCCCCCATGGTATCCCCCCGCCCCCCCCCCCCCCCCCCCCCGTGGTTCATGGTTCAGGGTGTGGGGTTTAGGCTGAGGTTTCTCTGTCCTCCCCCATGGTCCGTGGTGTTTTTAGGGTTAACAGCCAGGGTTTGGGGGGGGATGCCTTGGGGGGGGGGGGGGGTCGCGCAACGCTGGCAAATATAGGGTTTAGGGTTTAGGGTTTAGGGTATAGGGTTTAGGGTTTAGAACACGGGGGTCTTTTTGTATACAAAGGGTTTAGAGCTTTGCGCTCAGGGTTTCAGGAAGAGACTGCCAAGGAAGCTGCCCATGCTTCAAGGCACCAAGCCCGAAACCCTAAGCCCGAGCCAAGACCCTGAAAACCTCCGGTTCTCTCCTGAACCCTAAACCCTAAACCCTAAACCCTAAACCCTAAACCCTAAACCCTAAACCCTAAACCCTAAACCCTAAACCCTAAACGGAACGAGGTTTATAAGGTAGCCATGCTTCCCCCCTCCAGCCCCCACCCCCCGAAAGGGAGAAAGTCTTAGGGGAGTTGCACGGTCCCAGGGTTCAGGTAGGGTTTAGGGCAGTTACATGAGCCCTAAACCCTAAACCCTAAACCCTAAACCCTAAACCCTAAACCCTAAACCCTAAACCCTAAACCCTAAACCCTAAACTTCATGGTCCCGTACCCTTACATATCTCTGCTATGCCCTATAGCATCAGGGCGCATACTTCAGAACCCTTTGAAGCAAGGAAGTGACCATGATATGGAAGCCTGTTATCCCTAAAGAAGAAAGGGATCAGCTGGAGGCTCTCTAGAGGTTCGGAAGCTGAAAAGTCTACCAAGCCCTGAAACGCAGCGAAGCGAACGCCAACACTTTCAGGTTTAGGCCTACTAGGGTCTCTAGGGATGTTAGGGTAAGGGGGTTGAGGGCTTCAAGTACAGCAAAAAGCCTGTATCCGACCGACGCATCAGAAAGCCCAAGGCCAACAACCTCCATGAACGGCTTCGGGCTTCCGCCCGGTTACGGAATCAGAGGCGGGTGCATAAGGTTTTCATAGTTTAGGGTTCGGAGCTACACTGACGACATGCTTTGGGATGTTACCCCTTCTTCTAACAGTCCTTGATAGGGAATATCATCGGGGGGTACTCTATGATCCCCATTAAGGACTGTAAAAACTCAGCCAAGCGTACGGCCAGAAGACATTCCTGCGGTCTGGGTGAAACTCATGCTAGCAGACATCCGTCTGCTTTTTGGTTTAGGGTATAGGGTTTAGGTTTAGGTTCAGGGTTTAGGGTTTAGGTTTGGATGCCCTCTCCCCTAAGAATTCCCCAATCCACTTTCAGATACTAACGCATGATTTTATTTAACAAAAGCACCTTATGCATTCGCACGACTATGTTCAACATTGCGGCGAGCGAGTGGGTGGGTTCGATCTCAGGCGGATTTAAGTCAACTTGTCCCCTGGACGCCCTGCAGTCTTCGGATCCCATCAGCTTCTCACGCGAACACCAGTCAGCATCCTAGACCCAAGAGTAACCTAGGAATGAACAAGGTGCCCTGTTTGGTTTTAAAGGGGCTTACAAGGGAATCTAAGCCCGAAACAAAGGAAATAAGGGCCTCCTCTGGGTCCTAGTATCTGCAGGCGCGTATTGACACCTGGTTTTATGCTAATGAAGCAAAGCCCAGGGTTCCTACTTGGAGGCTCACTGCTAGCTAAAAAGGGCAGGTGCTAATACCCCTACATAGCTAAACCCCAAACCCCAAACCCCATACCCCACAACCCCACACCCCCCTAAAACCTAAACCCTCATGTACCCCAAATTAAGGGCCCATACGTCAGCACCCTGAAAGGGAGCCAAACCCGGTAACCCTAAACCCTAAACCCTAAACCCTAAACCCTAAACCCTAAACCCTAAACCCTAAACCCTAAACCCTAAACCCTAAACCCTAAACCCTAGCCCTAAATCCCTAGTAAACCATCCTTGGTGTGGTCCACAGGCGGCTCCCCTGTAGGGATGGAGCACAGCTGCAGAGCCCGTCGGGCCAAGGTCTCCTGCGAGGGCTTCGATGGGGCTTAGGGCTAGGGTTTAGGGTTTAGGGTTTAGGGTTTAGGGTTTAGGGTTTAGGGTTTAGGGTTTAGGGTTTAGGGTTTAGGGTTTAGGGTGTAGGGTGTAGTGTGTAGGGTTTAGGGGGGGTTCTAGGGTTGACAGAGACAGGGATCTTGGGGAGGGGGGGGGCCTATGGGGATTCTAGTGTTTCCAGGAATCAAACAAGAAGGCCTAGGGTTTATAGGCTTTACGGGGGTTTAGGGGCCATGAACACGTACAGATAGTATGGCAACTACACACCTACCTCAAAGCCCATGCTCAGGACTAACAAGAAACCAACCTGGTAGGGTTTAGAATTTTAGGGTTTAGGGTTTAGGGTTCACAGCGCACCAAAGCCTAAGCCCTTAGCGGTCCCTAGGGTTACTGAGGGGTTAGCGAGCCTACTGAGATTTGGTAGCCCAGCAACCCTATCACAGTTCCCGACAACAAGGGGCAAAAAAGGGTACCACGGGCTGCCAAGTAGAAAGGGATGACCAGGAGCTACTGTGATCAAACTACTCCACCACCCTCCACTTAATGGTTTAGGGTTTAGGGTTTAGGGTTGCCCTTTGCTCCATGGAGTCTTAAATGCCTTGAAACCCTGAAGCCTACAGCCATCTCAACTCGAACAACCTTCCAACGCCTTTCCGTTTAGGGTAGCAGGCGTTTAACCTCAAAGGAATAGCTGAGTTGTGCTTTAGATCCTTTGAAAACTACTTCTGAAATAGGCTCTCTTAAACGGATGCATGGTTCCCCCATGAGCCAACCCTTCTGCCGCTCCTGTGAGCCACGGTTGTGTTCCGTGTAGCCGGCCGCCCGCCAGGAGTCGTAGTAGCCTTGCTTCTTTCTCACGGAAGCGATCTGCATCTAGAGCTCTGGAGGGGGTTCTATAGGGTTTGGGGTTTAGGGTTTGGGGATTTGGGATTTTCCGGGTTTAGTGACTTCGTCATTTGCGGCTTAGGGGATTTTTGGGGTCTAGGGTTCAGTTAATAGGGTTTAGGGTGACTGCTGCAAGCCCACGAGCTTGACGAGGTGGAAGGTTCGGATGGTCCTAAACCCTCAACCCTAAGACCCCTAAGACCCCTGAGACCCCTGAGACGCCTGAGATCCCTGAGATCCCTGAGACCCCTGAGACCCCTGAGACCCCAGAGACCCCTGAGACCCCTGAGACCCCGAAACCCTAAACCATAAACCCCAAACCCTAAGATCCCTAAACTCTAAACCCTTAAGACCCCTAAGATCCCTAAACTGGCCCTAAACCCTAAACCCTAAACCCTAAACCCTAAACCCTAAACCCTAAACCCTAAACCCTAAACCCTAAACCCTAAACCCTTAAGACCCCCAAGATCCGAAGACCCCGAAGCCCAGGGGCGATCGGCATCGAAATTGGCGCGGTCCGTCTCCTTCCAGGCCTTCGGAGGCGCTGAGGGATCTTAGGGTTTAGGGTTTAGGGTTTAGGGTTTAGGGTTTAGGGTTTAGGGTTTAGGGTGTCGGGTTTAGGGTTTGGGGTTTAGGGGGTCGGACTTTTTTTTTTTTTTTTTTTGGGGGGGGGGGGGGGGGGCGTTCTAAGGATGTAGGCTGCAGCAGATTGGGGTCTGGGGTATTTCTACACCAGCCTAAACCCTAAACCCTAAGTCCAAAATCCTAAACCCTAAATCCTAAACCCCAAACCCTAAACCCTAAATCCTAAACCCTAAACCCTAAACCCCAAACCCTAAACCCTAAACCACATCGAGGCAGGTTTTTCGGGGTTTAGGGTAAATCAAGGGTAAAGGCTCCCCCTACACTGGAAGCCCCACTGGAACTTGTCAAGGACTCTCAAGAAGCCCTCCGGGTTTGTTCGATTGTTTGTTAGTTTCTTAAGGGGTTTAGGGTTTAGGGTTCAGAGGGTTTAATTAGGGTTTAGGGTTTAGGGTTTAGAATGTACCTTGAAACTGCACATCCATGCCTTCCAGCAAAAGGGTTGCACCCACGAACCCAAGGCCAACACGCAGCGAATATTTGGTACGTACTTGTGGGGAAGCGAGCTCGAGGGTTTTACCAGGTTAAACCCCGCAAACATCAGGTTTAGGGTGTAGGGTTGATGGTTTAGGGTTTAGGGATTAGGTTTACGGTTTAAAGGGTTTAGAGGGTTAGTAGGTTTAGAGGGTTTAGAGGGTTTAGAGGGTTTAGAGGGTTTGGAGGGTGCATAGGGTGTGGAGGGTTGAGAGGGTTTAAAGCTTAGGGGGCTTTCTGAGATAAACGAAAGGCCTCCTCACAATTTACATCCTCTCATAGCAAAAAATCGACACTCCTGGACCCCAAAAGGAACACTTGAACCAATGCCCGCAGGCCTCGCCTCTTCCGCACCCCCAACACTCCCAAAACCACTGCTGCCAAACTTACACTCTCAAACCTGCGCAGGGCTTAGCATTCAGAGTCCACCCTAAACTAAACCCTAGACCCTAGACCCTAGACCCTAAACCCTAAACCCTAAACCCTAAACCCTAAACCCTAATCCGTAAACCCCGAACCCTGGACGGCTGGGATGTCGAGCTTCGTCCCCTACGAACACCCATCTTCATGGCGCCTACGAGGAAGTGAGCGATTGCAAGGGGGCCAGTCTCCTGTAAGCGCTACGCAAAGTCTTGGAGGTTCCGGGGTTTAGGGTTTGGGTTTAGGCTTTAAGGCTTAAGGCTTAGGGTTTATAAAGGGTTTAGGGTTTAGGGTTTAAGGTTTAAGGCTTAGGGATTAGGGTTTAGGGTCATGGGTAGCTTTAACTGGCATAACAACTCGTGGGCCAACTTCATCATGCCTGGTTGTGACCTGCTCTGGAGGTCTTAGTGTTACAAACCCTGGAGCTCTCGACCACGAGCGGGCAGTATGGCTTAGGGCTTTAAGCCCCAAGCCGTCCTAAGCCCTAAGCCCTAAGCCCTAAACCCTAAACCCTAAACCCTAAACCCTAGCCCTAAACCCTAAACCCAAAAACCCCAAAAACCCCAAACCCCATAGAGCCGCCCTCTGACCCTGCTCTTAAAGGCCTCGATCTGTTGCCGAAGCTCTCCTTGCGACCTGCCCCGTCGCAAGTGCTCTTCTGGGTTTAGGGTTTAGGGTTTAGGGTTTAGGGTTTAGGGTTTAGGTTTTAGGGGTTTAAAGGTTTTTGGAGGGTTTAGGGTTTAGGGTTTATAGGGTTTAGGGTTTAGGGCTAGGGTTTAGGGTTTAGGGTTTAGGGTTTAGGGTTTAGGGTTTAGGGTTTAGGGTTTAGGGTTTAGGGTTTAGGGTTTAGGGTTTAGGGTTCAGGGTTCAGTGTTTAGGGTCAGATTCCTATCAAGGGCGGCTTGAAACCTTTGAGGATTTAATGTTTTGCAGAGTTTTGGGGATTCGGACAAGCAGTTGGGCGTTGCCAAATCCTGCGCACTGACCGCAACACCCCTCCAAAACTCCCCAAATTCTTATCACAACCTCAACCTGCAAGTCCCAAGCCCCCCACCACCCCCCCCCCCCCCCCACAAAACTGAAACCCTGTCCCTCCTAAACCCTAACCCTAAACCCTAAACCCTAAACCCTAAACCCTAAACCCTAAACCCTAAACCCTAAACCCGAAACCGCAACCAGACCCAAGAGTGGCCCAGGAATGAAAAAGCGTCTTACAGGTGAACCTGGACCCTAAAACAAGGGAATAGATGCATGCTGCTGGGCCCTGGGTAATCCTGCACCCTAAACCTAAACCCTAAACCCTAAACCCTAAACCCTAAACCCTAAACCCTAAACCCTAAACCCTAAACCCTTCGGAGCGCAGTGCCTGTAGTGTGAACCTGGAGCCGCCAGTGCTTCCTCCAGCATGGCTAAGCGGCTGCCTGGGACTGTCAAGAGACGGCTTTAGGGTTTAGGGTTTAGGGCTAGGGTTTAGGGTTTAGGGTTTAGGGTTTAGGGTTTAGGGTTTAGGGTTTAAGGTTTAGGGTTTAGGGTTTAGGGTTTAGGGTTTAGGGTTTAGGGTTTAGAGTTTAGGTTTAGGGTTTAGGGTTTAGGGTCTAGGGTTTAGGGTTTAGGGTTTAGGGGTTTGGAGAAGTTCTGCCTTACAGAAATTTGAGGGGTCTGAGGGTTTGGGGGTTCAACGGGTTCAGGGGTTTAAGGTAGTTTTGGGTTCTGGGGTCTGGGGAGGGTCTGGGGATATTGGTCTCGGGACTGCAGAGTTGTGACTAGTTGGGCTTAGGGCTTGGGGCTTGAGGCTCGTTTTCTTCCAGTAGGCTGGGGTTTGCTCTGGGAACATTGGAGTCCCTATACAGCCGCTGGGACGGCTCAATCCACAAAGCCTCGTGGAGTCCCTAGTGTAGTAAGGGAGGTGTAGCCTGGATGGCGTATTGAGATGCCAAAGGCCCTACAACCCTAAACCCTACAACCCTAAACCCTAAACCCCTAACCCCTAAACCCTAAACCCAAAACCCAAAACCCAAAACCCTAAACCCCCAAAAGCCGCAAAATCCCTATGATGAAACGTAAGGCACCGCACCCCCGAAGCGAGGCTGCTTGCCACGCCGAAGCATCTCCACGACGTGCCTTTGCCGAGTAAAACGCGCACAAAACCGACAGCTGGTTCTTGGTAGGGAGCTTGGAAACCCTAAACCCCGAAACCCTAAACCTAAACCCTAAACCCCTAAACCCCTAGACCCCTAAACCCTTAACCCCAGAGACGCGCCAGACAGAACCCTTCAAAGGATTACGCAACTCCCCAACTTGCCGCTTCGTCGTAGGAATTCGTAGAATTCTGTACCCTGTACAATCTCTTGAAGGGTGATTTCATGGTTTACAGGGTAACGAACTCAAAACCCTAAGAACTAACAGGACACGCCTTCCAATAAGGACCCGAAAAAAACACAACTTTTAGATAAGTGACCATATATCAGGTGTCCACATACCTCGCATGAAACACATTCGTCGCGGCAGTGGCTGTTATGCAGAAGCAGGAGGAACACTGACCCAAAGGGTCCCGGTCCTCATGGGGACTACCTGGGCCTTTTTTTCAGAGGTTTAAGTACCTACTCAATGGATCCCGTGGGGGAACAAGAGAAATCTCACAAAACACTCAACTGGACAAACGGGATCTGCGCGGCCAGCATTCTGCTTTGGGCGGAAGGGGACCCTAAACCCTAAACCCTAAACCCAGAACTTCCAAGTGCACCCGACATGGTCAGGCCTGAGATCTGTGTGAAGGCGCGCCGGGAAAGCGCCCAGGTTCCGCTCCTGACCTCGGGCAGCAGTGTTAAGGGATTATTTAGGGTTTAGGGTTTAGGGGTTAGGGCTTAAGGTTTAGGGTTTAGGGAGGGGATTACCACTATTTGCTTCCGAACCCCCCCCCCCCTCCCCCCCCCCAAAAAAAAAGCGAAAGAAAATAATCCCTATATTGCCCCTTCTGAGGAAGAACATGCAAATTTTCCTTTTGTTCTTTTTTTTGTGGAGGGGGGTTCTTATGGAAATGCTAGATGAGAAAGCGCAGCATAGTACTCTATATTCGATATATTATGTAGTTGGATATTGCATTGTGCTAACTCGTTCCATTCTATGAGGGTTTGCTGAGGTACTCTGCAAAGTCTGAGGGCATCCGCCAGCCAAAAACAATATTGGGGTTTAGGGTTTGGGTTTTGGGTTGTGTGGCAATCGGATCACATTCGTTGCGAATGCTTCATCCAAGTTGACCTGGCATGACACCGGGAAAAACACATTCGCTGCCTTGTCTGGACATCTCCTTCCTACAGTGTACAAACCAGAAACGCGATATGGTCAGTAGCAACCTTCTATCTGCTACCATTCCCAAACACAAGTTTTACGTGCATAGCCATTTGATTTTGTATTCCTTAAAGCACACCGGGGGTGACTTCCAGAATACAAGGTGTTAGAGTTCTGGATTCGGGTAGTTCTCTAAGTTAAGGTCCTTTTTTAAGGGCTCCCTATACAGTACGGCACCCTTCAACGGCGGACCCCCCAAAGAGGGGACCCTTTGAGTAGAGAGCTAGACCCATTTGGTGCTTTACGAAAATGGGCGACCCCTAAACTAGACCGCACATAGTAGGGTTCCCTTATCATAAGGACCCCCCCAAAAGCTACCCCCCAACTACCTCGTAAGGATTGACCAGGAGGTCGTCTTTTGCTCCAGGGCAAAGTGCTGGCGAACGTGGACTTGTCTCACACAAGCCGGGCTGTGTGCCAAGCACAAGTCTGTCACCAGCCGTGGAAAGCTTTCGACAACGTGTGACTGCGTACGTCGCAGCATGAGTTACAAATCACAGACTCATCACCTGGTCTCAGGATGACGAGGTGATGCGTCTCATTTGAGACAGATGAGGCCAGCTATGAGATGCGTGGCTGTCTGCGAGATGCAGGACCAGGAAGATTTGGAGGTTCCAGGAAGTTGCTCTGAATGACAGTGTGCTTGCTCCAAAAGAACACGAACTTTCGGAACCTCAGCGTTTTGGGCATGGATGAAAACTGGCTGCGCAGCATTGCTGTGCAATCCTAGGGTAGTAGTAGTGAATTCAGCATTGCCCCAGGTCCTGTCTGTACAATCGTTGCAACCTGCACGCCCTTGCCAAGTTAAAAGCTGCAAGGAACATCTGGGGAACGCATACATCCCCCATGCGCATTTAGCTCGGACAGATTTTGGGACACATCCCAAGGCAGGCAGTCAAGCCATACGTTTCTCAGGACGACCCCTACGTAAGTGGAGTGCAATCACTTGTCCGTCGACGATGCCGCCCCATGAACGTGGCGGGCAATTCCATTCCTCAGTGGAGGCGTGGTCAGGACTCGTTTATCCCAGCAACCAGATTATGACAGGGTGCCTTTTTGGGGGTTGGTTGCTTTGCCGGGAGACCTAGAAGGACCTAGAACCAGCAAAAAAGAGATCAACAAGAGCACCACTGGGCTACCAAGATTTGGGCTTCAAAGGGTATTTTGGAGGCCTCCCTGGCCGCCATGTCTCACATGGGCTACGCCGCACACCATCACGACCCGGCCATCGCCTGCAGCTCACGTTGCAGCGGCCATGGTAAGGTTTGCTCCTATGAGGGTCCCTAAGCCCCAAACCCTAAACCCTAAACCCCAAACCCTAAACCCCAAACCCCAAACCCTAAACACCAAACCCCAAACCCTAAACCCTAGTTAAACCTCAAACCCTAAACCCCAAACCCTAAACCTCAAACCCCAAACCCTAAACCCCAAACTCGAAACCCCAAACCCTAAGCCCTAAACCCCAAGCCCTAAGCCTAAACCCTAAACCCCAAACCCTAAACCCCAAACCCTGAACCCCAAACCCCACACCCCAAACCCTAAACCCCAAACCCTACACCCTAAACCCCAAACCCTCAACCTGAGACCCCACAAGGGGGCATGCAAAGAGCTCGTTGCGCCTTTGAGACTCAATCGACATGGGCACCCAAATACTCAGCCAACAATCGCCGATAGTAAGCCCTAGGCGGATCAGAACCCGAAGTCCCTGTACTTTGGGGTTTCGGGTTTAGGGTTTAGGGTTTAGGGTTTAGGGTGTACCTGTTTGCGACCCAAGCTGTGTGCTGGCAGCTGCATCTTCTAAACCTTAAACCCTAAACCCTAAACCCTAAACCCTAAACCCTAAGCCCTAAGCCCTAAGCCCTAAGCCCTAAACCCTAAACCCTAAACCCTAAACCCTAAACCCTAAACCCTATAAACCCTAAACCCTTAGATACTCAACCCAACGACTCCGTTTGGTCCCTTTTGGGGGGTCCTGGTTCTGTACATGTTTTGCAGGCGCCATTGTGGGTTCAGGGTTTGGGGTTTGGGGTTTAGGGTCGAGGCACTCGTTCACCCCCCTAGGCCTAGACATCCTACAACCTACAAGCCTGAAACCCGAAACCTTACCCCCCACTCCCCCCCACTCCCCCCGACTCCCCCCTCCCCCCCACTCCCCCCCAGCACTCCCCCCTCCCCCCGCCTCCCACAGAAAATGATACCCCATTACTCTCTCTGTTGAATCCCAAATGCAGGCCGTAGACCCTACTTGGTAGCCCAGTAACCATGCTGTAATAAGGGCACCCTTTTTTGGGTTGGCTACTTTATATGGCAACCTCGAACGCAAAAACGGGCAAAAGGTTAACCCTCAAACCCGAAACCCTGAAACCCCCAACTCCAAACCCTGAGCCCAACACCCCAAACACCCCAAACCCGACACCCCAAACCCGACACCCCAAACCCTAAACCCGAAACCCTAAACCCTAAACCCTAAACCCCAAACCCTTAACCCCAAACCCTAAACCCTAAACCCTAAACCCCAAACCCAAAACCCAAAACCCAACCCCCTTGGGCGCCTTTCTCTGCCACCGTGGTCTTTGCTGCTTCTGCGATCGCTCGAAAGAGTTGCTCGTCACGTGTCGCCGTGAGCAGGAACCTGGGCTTAGGGTTTTTAAGGCTTTTTTAAGGGTTCTTTAAGGGTTTTAGGTTGTTTTAGGGCTCTTAGGGTTTTAAGGGTTTTAGGGTTTTAGTGTGGTTAGGGTTTTAGGGTTTTTAGGGTTTTAGGAGTTTCTGGTTATTAGGGGTTTAGGGTTTTTAGGGGTGTTAGGGTTCTTAGGGCTTTTAGGGTTTTAGGTTGTTTGAGGGTTTTTAGGGTTTTAGTTTTTTTAGGTTTTTAGGGTTTAGGGCGGTTAGGGCGGTTTTGGGGTTTTAGGGTTGTAGGGTTTTAGGGTTTTGTGGTTTTCGGGTTCAGGGTTGAGGGTTGAGGGTTATACACATGCTTTGGTCGTGTCAGGCCTTGAACTAGCTACCTGTTAGACTTGAGGGGGGGACCCGAAACCCTCGTGAGGGTTCAGGCATTCGTTTCTCACCCCAAAAGCAAGGGGGGGGGGGGGGGGGGGGGTCCAAGTTGCGGGATCATCCCACGGAGCACCAAGCCTTAAGCGCTGAATAAAAAAACCCTAAGCCTTAAACCCTTAACCCTGAGCCCTAAACCCTAAACCCTAAACCCCAAATCCGAAACCCTAAACCCCAAACCCTAAACCCCCTCCCCTCCAAACCCCCGAAGATGCTTGAGCTCTGCTGAGCAGCATGAAGATGGCAGCGATCAGCCTGCAGTGGAGCCACGCCAGGGTTTCGGGTATACGGTATAGGGTTTAGGGTTTGGGGTCTGGGGTTTAGGGTTTAGGGTTTGGGGTTTAGGGTTTGGGGTTTAGGGTTTAGGGTATAAACAATATAGGGGTTGGGGTTTAGGGTTTAGTAGGGTTTAGTAGGCTTTAGGGGCGTGAGGTGCAGGATTCAGTGTTTACGACTTCGGGGGTTTAGGGTGAACCATACAGAAACCTGGGGCCCGGGTGCCTTCGTTCGAAGGTCTTCAAGATTTTCCGACAACTACGCTAAACCCTAAACCCTAAACCCTAAACCCTAAACCCTAAACCCTAAACCCTAAACCCTAAACCCTAAACCCCTAAACCCCTAAACCCTAAACCCTAAACCCCTAAACCCCTAAACCCCTAAACTCTAAACCCTAATCGACAAGAAAACCCCCCATCGTGATGCCTCGGGTGCCAGTGGAACACATCAGAGGCCCTGATTCTCTGCATGCACCATCCACCGCAACGAACAGACGCTCTCTCCCGCCCCAAACCCCCCAAATCCTAATCCCCGTATCTGGGTCCTTGTTCGGGTTATATTAAAAATTATCAATTTTTAATCCTTATTGGCTCTTATAATAGCAAAAATGTAAAATTAAAGCCAACAAGGACCCAGGTCTCCCTAACGCTCGGAATAGCCCAAAGTAGGTGGTTTTTGTCTGCTTGGAGCCCTAAACCCTAAACCCTAAACCCTAAACCCTAAACCCTAAACCCTAAACCCTAAACCCTAAACCCTAAACCCTAAACCCTATAGCCAAAGTCAAGACGCGAGTTGGTCATGCCCATTGCCAGCAAAGGGACGGCGACCTGATCAGCGAGAAGATGACTCAGACGCGGTTCTTCGGGTTTCTCCCTGGTTCTTCGTAGGGAATGAGAGAATGAGGGCCCCTTTATAATCCCTTGAAGGGTATATATAGGGCCCTCATTCTCTCATTCGCGGTCCCTAAACCCTAAACCCTAAACCCTAAACCCTAAACCCTAAACCCTAAACCCTAAACCCTAAACCCTAAACCCTAAACCCTAAACCCTAAACCCTAAATGGGTTTAGGGCTTCGGGCTACAGATACGCAGCAGGATCCCGGCGACCCACTGGCAGACCACGACCGGTGTACCGACTCTTGTACCTTCCCAAAGGTTTAGGGCTTAGGGCTTAGGGCTTAGGGTTTAGGGTTTAGGGTTTAGGGTTTAGGGCTTAGGGTTTAGGGTTTAGGGTTTAGGGTTTAGGGTTCAGGGCTTAGGGTTTAGGGTCATGCAACCACAAAGGGAGGCCCATACCTTGCCGAAAAAAGTAATTGGAGGCCCTTTGGGTTACAGGAAAGATGCGCCGACCCCTCCCGTTGCTGTCGAAGCTATTTCAGCCCTAAACCCAAACCCTAAACCCTAAACCCTAAACTTCTCTTACCTTTCGCCCAGCAGCTGCTTCCCAGCTGGCGATCAACTTTGGAGGCGTCTCCCTTGGACACCAAAGACGTACTACTTGAAGGCTCATGGCTTAGGGTTTAGGGTTGAGGCGTACTTATAAGTAAGTGGGGTTATAAGTCCCCTAACTAAGGTGACCATAGTTACCCTGCTCTGAACCCTAGATATACGTACACATGAGCCTCCAAGTAGTAGTAGAGAGAATTCGGGTTACATACAAGAAACTCTCAAATTTCGAAGCCTGATGCCCTCAAATCGCACGGAGGGAAGGGTCCGAGCTGCAAGAAGTAGGGGCTCAGGGCATTGTTGAGGGGGTAGGGTTGAGGGTTTAGGGTTCAGGGTTTATTGTAGGCTTCTAAAGGGAGGGGAGTTCATCGAAGGGAGGTAGCTAGGGAACCTTCGGGAGCCTTAGGGAGTAGACTAGGGAACTTCGGGCTACATACCCCCCTTGAACCAACCTCCCTTAAGAACCGATAGGTTTAGGGCTTAGGCTTTAGGGTTGAGAGGCTTGAGGGGGTTGAGGGGCTTCAGGGTTTTGGGGCTTTGGGTTTCACATACTTGTAGCTTCAGAAAGCTCCTGGAGATACGCATGGAAAGAGTGTTCAGGTGGCAGGCCCACGACAGAAGCAGACAGTGTCTATATATGTATGTATGTATATATATATATATATGCATGCTGTATACCTTTCCATATGCACCTTTATATGGTAGGATCCCCTGCAACTTTCATTTAAGGAACCTTTTCCCCCCATTCAAACAGCTAATGAGGGGACCTTGGTAGGTTCCCCCTTCTTGGAGGGTCACTCTTCAGCCCAAGTTCTTGGAGGGTTTAGGGTTTAGGGTTCTGGGTTTAGGGTTTAGGGTTTAGGGTTGTATTTCGGGTATTTATCACCTGGCAAGCTACCAAGCAGATGGGTCGATCAAGCCATCCTTGGCCAAGGCATACACCTGGTCTGCGGGTTTGTCTGGCTGAGGGTTTAGCATCAACCCGGGGTTTCTTGATTTTTCTTCGGAGTTCAGCCCCTAAACCCTAAACCCTAAACCCTAAACCCTAAACCCTAAACCCTAAACCCTGAGTCTTACGGAGTCACCTAAACCCAGATTCAAACGGGTGGATTTGTGAGATAGGATGTTAGAAGGCGGGCTACATGATCGGGCCTGCAAATCTGTTCCCTTCCTGGGCCAGTGCTATAAATTTGGGGCTCCCCGTCCGGGAAAAACAAATGTCCAGACCTCAAAGAACGAACCGTCTGGAGCCAGGACAGCTAGAGTGGAACTTACGTTGCGGGATGGGGGGGGGGGGGGGGGGGGGGGGGGAGGGGGGGTTGATAGGACCGCAGCAACAACAGTGGTTCAGCTGGGAAGGCTGGATCCCCCGATCCCTCGAAACATGTAATCTCCTCCCCCTAACATTAAACCCCCAATATACTATAATATAACTATACTGGGGGTATTTAATAGTGGGGGGTAGGGGGGGTTTAATATTGGGGGGAGGGGATTAAGAATGAAGCCCAACAAAGCAAGACACATCAAAGACCGCTGAAAGCCTCCAGGCCATCGGGTTGAGGGCTTCGGGCTTCGAGCTTTCTGGTTTTTAACCATGACAAAGCCCTAGACCCGAAACCCTAGACCCTAGACCCTAGACCCTAAACCCTAAACCCTAAACCCTAAACCCTAAACCCTAAACCCTAAACCCGAAACCGAAGCCCTGGGACAGTGAGGACGACGTTGGCCGCCAAGAGTTGTGAGCCGACGCCCTTCTTCGTTGTTCCAGCGAAGACGTGCTTCAGGGCCTGTTTAGGGTTTAGGGTTTAGGGTTTAGGGTTTAGGGTTTAGGGTTTAGGGTTTAGGGTTTAGGGTTTCGGGTTAGAGTCGACAAGGTTTGGGGGGCTTTTGAGGAGGATTTTCGGTATGGCCATTCGGATGTTTGGGCACTTGCGTTAAGGGTTCAGGGTCGCCTTGGCCAGGGATCCTACGGCTTGTGAACTGGAATGCGACAGTGCTGAGTTGATGTTTAGGGTTTAGGGTTTAGGGTTTAGGGTTTAGGGTTACTAAAGTCCCTAAAAACCCAAACACCCAACCCCGACACCGACACACTTGAATGTACAGATGCCACACGACATGAATCCACACTGGTCATGGGCTGCCCAGCAAGACATCCTACTGTAGGCTCGGAACAATGACGAATAGTCTTCCCTTCTGGCCCCTATATATACCAGAACTGCCCCAAGAACCCTTTCATCTAACTATTCTAAACCCTAAACCCTAAACCCTAAACCCTAAACCCTAAGCCCCAAACCCTAAACGACTAGTTTCCCCAGGATCCTTTCGGAACAAAAGGGGGGCACCTTTTTTGGGCTTCAGTGGGTTTTCCAAGGGCTCCTTAACCTTAAAAGCGGGAACAGCTGCACCACTGGGCATCCTCGCCACACAGCCTAAAAGCCTAACAGCTTAACACCCTAACATCCGTAAAACCCTAAACCCCTAAACCCCTAAACCCCTAAACCCCTAAACCCCTAAACCCCTAAACCCCTAAACCCCTAAACCCCTAAACCCCTAAACCCCTAAACCTCTAAACCCTAAACCCCCAAGCCCTAAACCCTAAACCCTGAACCCGAAACCCGAACCGACGCCACATGTTTTGTCCCCTAGGCTCCTTGGGGAGGTCGATGCCACCCTCGCGCGGGCGCACGAAGGGCCCCGCCAAGCGCATCCACCTTGGACCAAGGCTCGGACTAGTTTCAGGGTTGGGCCTAAACCCCCACATCCTAGCCCTAAACCCTAAACCCTAAACCCTAAACCCTGAAGCCTGAACCCTAAACCCGTAACTGTAAACCCGAACCTTAAACTCCAAACCCTAAACCCTTAAGCCCCCTTCCTGCGACTGGGCGGCAAGGGCTGGCCGCGCGTGACTTCCATGGCTCCGACGGGGTCGAACAGATCCTGGCAGGGTTTGTTTAGGGTTTAGGGTTTAGGGTTTAGGGTTTAGGGTTTAGGGTTTAGGGTTTAGGGTATCGGGTTTTGGGGTCTGGGGCTAGGGTTAGAATGGTGTAGGGTGTAAACCGCAGGGTTTTCAGGGTTAAGAGTTTCGGGCTTCGGGCTTAAAGGGTTTAGGGTTCACATGGTTTCAGGTCTCGGGTTTTAAGGGGTGTGGTTTAGGGTTCAGACAGGGCACAGGTTGAAGGATTAAGGGTTTAGGGTTTACGGTTTCGGGTTTAGGGTGGGCCGAGCATGGATTAGGGCTGGGGTTTCGGCTCCCTATCGGAATGGGAACCCCAAAATTGAACCCTAAACCCTAAACCCTAAACCCTAAACCCTAAACCCTAAACCATCTCTGCGTGGCCTCATTCTCCACATCGCCCAGGATGATGGGACCTTGTTTTCCACATGGCTCGCTTGAGGGGGCTGTGGGATTTAGGGCAAGCCCTACACCCTTCAAACCCGACGAACCCTATGAACCCAACAAGCCCCATAAACCCAGACCCTAACCCCTAAACCCTGAACCCTCTCACCCTAAACCCCAACACCCTCTTGCCCTCTACCTTACACCCTGAACCCTGAACCCTAAACCCTAAACTCTCTTGCCCTCTCAGCCCCTGGCACTGCAGGTTCCGTGCGCAGCGAGCAGCAGCAGCAAACTCACTGCCGCTGTGCTTCACTGTGCCCACAGACCTGAGTGTAGGGTTTCGGGCTTAGGGGTAGAGTCTAGTCCGCGTAGCATATATGCATACATCCATCCATCCATCCATCCATCCATCCATACATCAATATATATATATATATATTATTATTATTATTATCATTATTATTATTATTATTATTGTGTTTTATTCTTATTCTTGTTTTTGCTTATTATCATTGAATTGTTATTATTATTATTGTTATATATATATATATACGCTCAATAGTATAGACAAAACTCGTGTGCTATGGGGTTTGCGGTTGAGACACGACCGTCCTTCTTCAACATCTATAGCCCCAAAGACCAAGCCCCCAAACCTGCAAATGCCGCGTGTCCCTCAGCTTCAAGGTGCATTTAGAAGAGGGCATGCAGGTGACTCTGCGTGGAGTCTTTTTTTCAGCTCTGCTTTTTAGATTCGGGACGTCCTTCTCAAGCCCGGCAGCCCAGCAACCATGTTCCAATAAGGGCACCCTTTTTCGGGTTGGCTTCTCTAATGATAAGGGAACCTTGAACCCAAAAAAAGGGGGAAAAAAGGGTACCACTGGGCTACCAAGCAAGGGATGTGCGGGTGGCCCTGAGGCCGCGGCATGTAAAGTGCTCGCTGTGCCAGCGGGAAAAGGCTTGTTGACAACGATGCCAACAGTTCGATGGCCGGCCAGATTTGCAAGCTCTCGCTTTGGTAGCCTGAAGGCGGGGCTTAGGGTTTAGGGTTTAGGGTTTAGGGTTTAATTAGGGTTTAGGGTTTAGGGTTTAGGGTTCAAGGTTTTGGGCTGGGGATGTTTACTTGCAGGCCTCAGGTTCGACCGCGGATTGATGAATGTTCACAATGCAAGGGGGGCGACCCTTACATGCAGTCGTAACCACAAACCCTAAACCCTAAACCCTAAACCCTAAACCCTAAACCCTGAACCCTAAACCCTAAACCCTAAACCCTAAACCCTAGATTGCTTCCATCCCCCAAGTTGAGAGCCTCTGCCGTCCTTCCTCGCATTGCTTCCAGGCGCCATGCCAACAGGCAAGGCAGCGCAACCCAAGGAAAAAACATGGCCCACACGCCCCGCACCCCCCACCCGCCCTAAACCTAAACCCTAAACCCTAAACCCTGAACCCCTGAACCCCTGAACCCCCTTAAGCCCTGAACCCTAAACAAAGCCCTTTCAATGCCAGGTGGCGGTGCTTTTTGAAGGCTGTCTCAAGCCACTCGCCATCACCTCGGGAAAGAAAAGCGCACGAGTTGACCCAACAGGGTTTAGGGTTTGGGGTTTAGGGTAAGTTCAGGGTTTAGGGTTTAGGGTTTAGGGTTTTGGAGCTTCAGCTGTGTACATATAAAGCAGGGTCTGGAGGACGACCAAGGCCTTTTCCAAGGCACTGAAGCTCGACAGGGCGCGGCGCATGTTCACCATGTCGACCTTTGAGAGGGTTCAGGGTTTCAGGGTTTCAGGGTTTCAGGGTTTCAGGGTTTCAGGGCTTAGGGTTTAGGGTGTAGGGTTTCAGGGTTTTAGGGTTTAGGGTGTAGGGTTTCAGGGTGTTAGGGTTTAGGGTTTCAGGGTTTCAGTGTTCAGGGTTTAGGGCTTAGCTAGGAGCTGGCAGCAGTTTGCCTAAGGTTGCCTCGGGGCTCAGGCCCTTCCAGTACTGATGATAAGGTGCCAGGACAGGAACTAGATTTGCAGTGCAATAGAGCCGCAGCTTGATTTAAGCTCCTTAACTGCTATTTGCCTAAGAACACCCCCCAAAAAGGAGAGAATAATCCCCATCTTGCCCTTACGAGGAAGAACATGTCACTTTGTTTTTCTCCACATCAACTCAGTATTGAGAGGCCCGGTAGCCCACAAACCATATTATGATAAGGGTACACTTTTTTCTGGGTGGGTTACTTTCTACCGGAACCTTAAACCCGCGGGCAGAGGGTACCACTGGGCTACCCAGGATGTGCCCCGCCCAACTGGGACCCGCATCTGAAACAGACCCCCGACATGATCCCATGCTGCTCAAAGTACGGTTCGCCAAGATCACCAGCAGCTTTTGCTGAAAATTGTTTTGCCCATGTGAAGGACTCTTTTCCTAACGGTCCCTCCCAAGGACCCTACACTGCACTAAACTCTAAACCCAAAGCCCTAAACTCTAAACCCAAAAACCCAGGGGGGCCATATGGGGGAGGCTCCAGGTCCTTGAAAGCTGGTATTTAGGGTTCAGGGTTTGAGGTTTAGGGTTAAAGGTTCAGGGTTTGGGGTTTAGGGTTTGGGGTTTAGGGTTAAAGGTTCAGGGTTTGCTGTTTAGGGTTTGGGGTTGATTGTGGTGTATACAGTAAACTCGGTAAACCCCCGGGCGCCGCACCTCGTCGTTGGGGCCGCGCACAATCAGCTGGCCTTCCTCAGCGGAGGAGTCGGGGGGCCTGGCAGACGCAACGTTCCAAACGCCTCAATTCACGCTTTTCAGGGTTTAGGGTTTAGGGTTCATCGGATTTTGGTTTTAAGGTTTAGGGCACAAGGCTATGTAACCCTGGCCCTTATCTTGAATCCTAAACCCTAAGCCCCACAACCGCTACAGCAAGCGGCAAGTTTATATAGGCTTGGCTTCAGGCTGTCTGGACTTGAACAGACTAGGGGCTATTGGGGTTGAGGGCTTGGGGAGATTCTGCGACAATGTTGGCGGGTAGATTAGTCTTCATGAATACTAGCTTCGAGGCGGCCGGTCCTCGAGCCTCCTGGCCCCCTACCCAGAGTACATAGAGTCACCCTGTACCCCCAAGAATGGGCAAAATGCACACAATCTGAGGTACGCTTCTCTGTGCGAAGGGATAAGAAGCCCTAAGCTCAAAACCCTGAACCCTGGACTAAACCCTAAACCCTAAACCCTAAACCCTAAACCCTAAACCCTAAACCCCAAGCCCTAAGCCCTAAGCCCTAAGCCCTAAGCCCTAAGCCCTAAGCCCTAAACCCTAAACCCTCAACCCTAAACCCTAAACTAAGGGAGCCAAGTGTCTCGGAGTGCCCCACCACCACCGGAAAGCCCTGCGCCGTGTTCTCCAAGCTGATCTCAAGGGATCCGCTCCTTAGTCTGAAGTTGTTAGAGGCATATAGGGTTTAGGGTTTAGGGTTTAGGGTTTCGGGTTTCGGGTTTAGGGGTACAGGGTTTAGGGGTACAGGGTATAGGGGCTAGGTCTTAGAGTTTAGAGAAGGTTCCTCTTTAGGGCTTGGGGCTTGTAAGGGATTGGCATAGGGCATCGGGTATAGGGGTCAAGTTTTTTTGTTTAGGGTCCCGGTTCAGGGTTAGGGGCTTCGGGTTTGGGTTCTGCAGGGGCTTAAGGGGGTTTTAGGGGCTACAAGTATTAGGGCTTCAGTGGCTTGGAGGATCTCCAGAAATTCAGAGGATACAAGGGGTTGAGGCGATTCAGGTCAAAGGGCTCGGGTTCATTCAGGGCTTAGGAGCCTTGCGAGGCTACCTTTGGTGCAAACTTTTCAATTTCTGGCTGGTTCTTAGTAGGGAATGAGGGAATGAGGTAGCCTACATAATCCCTTAAAGGGTACACATAGGGCCCTGATTTCCCTCATTCCCTACTACGAACCATGGAATTTTGCAGGAAGGGCTCCTTCTCATCGGAATTTCCTCCCAGAGAGGGCCTACTCCGACCCTTTTTTTGAGTCACTCGAACCGAGTGGCTGCGTGGCGGTGGCCCCCGCCGGATACAGGCTGCTGATGCGCTCTCGGCTGAGCTCCACCTGCGAAGATAGTCAAACCTTGGACCCTTCTAAGGGACCTTAGGGGTTCTTTAGGGGCTACTTAGGTATGTAGGGTATATGTAGGGGGGTATCTTGGGGAACAAGATTAAGGGTCCCTTCTAGGGGGGTCCCTCACCCCTTAAGATAGAGCTTCTTTCACCATTGTTGCTGTGTGGGGAGCCGGGGGAACTCTCGGAACCAGAGTCAAAGCCTAAACCCTAAACCCTAAACCCTAAACCCTAAACCCTAAACCCCAAACCCTAAACCCCAAACCTAAACCCCAAAGCCTAAACCCTAAACCCTAAACCCTAAACCCCAAACCCTAAACCCCAAACCCGAAACCCTACGAGATCAAGTCTCAAAGCAAGGCGGTGGAAGCCGGCAGCCAAGGAGCCACAACCCGATCCGGCTCCAAACGGGAGATCAAGGCCTGCAGGGTTTAGGGTTCTTAAGGGTTAAGGGTTAAGGGTTAAGGGTTTAGGGTTTAGGGTTTAGGGTTTAGGGTTTAGGGTTTAGGGTCCTGAAGAACCCTGTAATACGTGAAGCCAACGTGAACTACAGCCCCAGCGCTTGGAGGTTCAGAAGGGTCCTACTTTCTTGGACCCTACTTGGATTTAGGGTTTAGGGTTTAGGGTTTAGGGTTTAGGGTTTAGGGTTTAGGGTTTAGGGTTTAGGGTTTAGGGCTACTTGGAGGTTCACAGGGGTACCTATAAGTAGGGTTACAAGTAGGGCAACTATGCTTGTCAGCGAATATGAGGTACTTAAAACCCCACTTACAAGTACCCATGAACCTTCAAGTGCACCAAATGCAGTGTCAGGCCAGCAATTTGCAAGGACGAAGCAGCAAGCTTTACCTGAATTGTCCCGGCGACTGCCCCTAGCAACCCTGTCATTCCTTCGCCATGAGTCGTGCGGATTGCCTTTGAAAGGTTTTGCTAACAACCTCCTAAGTCGAAGCGAGAACAAATCCGCCGTTGTGACGCGTTGCGATTCTGACACTGTTTGGATCTGCACGGGTTTCCAGGGCGCCCCTGCACCCATGGAACCAACTCCCAAAATGGGTTTAGGTTTAGGGTTTAGGGTGTTAGGGTGGTGGGGTGTTATTAGGGTTTCACCTCTACCATGACAATGGTGAAGTGTAGTGGCGTACTACACACGACACCTGGCTGAACACGCCAAGCAAGAGGGCATGAATAAACTCTGATGGCTGCGAGGCCCTTCTGCAGAACTTGTCCACGGAGAACCCTAACTCCGAAGCCCCTAAACCTCACATGATAGTAGGGTTTAGGGTTTAGGATTTAGGGTTTAGGGTTTAGGGTTGAGGGTTTAGAGTATACCTGCACTTGAGCTCTTCCGTCCCACCTATGCACGTTGCGCAGGGCTCTCTTCAAGCATACCCTGAGGTGCTCGTCATGAGTTGAACTCTCCCTTCCCCCAGAGCCTGAAGCTCTAGGGTCCAGGGTCCAGGGTCCAGGGTCTAGGGTCTAGGGTTTAGGGTTTAGGGTTTAGGGTTTAGGGTTTAGGGTTTAGGGATTTTCTTGCACAACTGCACATGAAGACCTATACCCTCACCCTACCCTAGACCCTGAAGTAAACTCCCCAAACCCCGAAGTCCATTGTGCACTAAACTGCACAGCTGGAAGCTCGGCGGCCACTCTATCGGAGTCTTTTACTTCCGCAAGGCATGCTGCTTTGTCCCACTTGAGCCACCGGTGTGGCGAATGCCTCTCATGTCTACATGTCCCTTTGGTCAATAGCTCTCAAAAGCCCTCCGAAGACCTCAAGAACGACTTCACAGTTCCCCCAAATTAAGGTTGACCAAAGTGTCATGTAGTCGTTCTGATGCTCCTGCAGCAGTCTGGCAACTGAGGCAGAATGGCTTCTACGCCTGAAACGGGGATCGGAGGCTCGATTCTCGAGCTCCTCCTTCACATCGACGAGTGACAAAATGCCACTCTTGAGGAAATCTTCCATCGCTCCATTCCCTTTTAGGGGGTCGATCTTGGTGAGGCTGTCGACGATGTTCTTCTGGTGGGGCGTCCAACGAACAAAGGACCTTGTCTCCTGCAAGTCCTTCACCACGATCGCCAACTCTAGGGCCGCCTTTCTGTCCTGACGGCCTTGAGGGTTCTCCTTCAAGATGCAATCGAACAATGACTTGGCGTCGGTGACTGAACATTGTTGCTGCCTCCCATGGAGCTGACATTCTCCGCGGAGAACCAGCATATGCGGAGATAGACTGTTCCTCCAGTCCCGAAGCTGCACGTCGTGGATCACCGCGTCTCGAACCATCACCTGGAGCCAGTCCACTTCGTTGATTCCCTGGAGCATTGCCTGGGCCTCTCCTCCGAAGCTGGAGAACACCTTGCGCTTCAGCTTGCTGGACCGCCAGGCCAGAAGGGATCCTTTGACTCTCTCCCTTCCTGTGGGAAGATGGGACGTGGCGATGACGGCCCATGCACCTTGAGTGGCGTCCACCGGCAGCCCCATCTCATCCTCCTCGCCCGGACGTGTTGTGATGCCGCCGGCGTCCGTCACCACCACAAAGGACATCTCGTCGGGGACGAACTTCCACAATGTAATGGCTCGGTCGGCGGTGTTGTTCAAGTGGTTCACGCACTTGTTCACGGTCATCACGTCCTCGATTGTAGCCACCGTCAACCGAGATGCCATAATCGATGCAAGTCCGGCCATCTCCGGCCGGGATTCCTTCGCCAGCCAGGGGATCTTGTAGATGCATGATCTGAGCATCTCGAACTCCTCCTTTAGAAGAGGACTCTTCTTGTCCTGCTTTCGTGTTTTCTCCAGCGGCACCGGGCGCACCTGTTCTCGGATGTACTTTCCCTGGTCCACCAGGATCCGATCGTGAAGAACTCGGACACGGCGTCCGGCGTACTCGGCCTCATTCCTTTCCCACTTGCCGAAGTGGAACCTTTCTCGCAGACGCCGCTCGACCTCGGCCTCGTGGGATGGAAGCGCGGTCACGATGAAGTCGTCGACCTCCAGGAGGATCTGGGAGACATTCTTCTTCTTCCCTTCGGAGCTCTCCTCAAACTTCATGAACCAGCAAGGCTCCACCAGATTTCGGACATAGCCCATCTCGTCGATCAGGTGTCGGACCACTGTCGTCCTCCAGGCAGCGGGCGCATCGTCCAGCCCGTACACCGGGACGTCTATGGCTATGAGAGCCCCTTCGGGGAGCCCTAGCCCCTCACAGGGAGAGGCGTAGATGGGTCCTCGAGGCCTCACCAGCTTATCTGACTGACAGAAGGCGTTCCGGACGTCCGTAAAGGAAAAACGATGCCCGAGGTTGAGGCTGGTTTGCATGAAAGCCATCATGCCCTCGCCTTGAGGCGTCGGAGAGTACGTAGTAAGGGAGCCCGTGTCCGGATCAGTGTGTCCTCCGACACACCACCGGGATTTGGCTTTCCACTTGTGGTCCTCGGGAAGAGGCTTTCTCCTTCGCACCATCCTTGAGCTAGAAATTGGGCCATCGTTTCCGAATCTCATCTGCTTCCTTGCCCACGATGACGCGAACAGCTTTTGTCTGCAGGATCGCTTGCCACTCTACCTGATCCGAGGCTTCGAAAAGCTTGCGCTCAGCTTCGTTCAGCTCCTTCATCGTTACTTCGTCGCCTCGCTTTGCCAAGAGCACCAGGTAGCCTTCGTCGTCGAAGTGAAACCACGAGTGTAGCCCATGCTCTTGCTCCTCGTGAGTTCTTCGGGGGGATCGAGATGTCTCTCTGGCCTCCTCGGAAGCTGTGGTTCGATCTCCCACGACCCCATCGGATGAGCTTGTGGCCATCTCCTCTCTCCCTCGTCGAATGATTTCCAGAAGCGGCTGAAGTGGAGTGCCAGGGGCGCGAGTACCTTCCTCCAGTCTCGGCACCTTGTTGGGAGGGCCGTCTTCCCTTGCCAGATCCGGACGCAGCTCGCCGTCTTCCTCTGGCACTGGAGTCAAGGCTCCGGGGGCTTCTGGTTCTTGCGCAGGCTCTTCCAAGGACGATCTTCTTGATCCTGCCGTCCTTGTTTGAGCATCTTCACCGCTAACTTGACGAGGAAGCCCTGGACTGAGAAGCCCAGGAGGCACGGGCACTCGAGGTTCAGGAGCTCTGGGAACTTCTCCACGAGGAAGGCTCATGGTCGGCTGCTGAAGTACTTCTGGATGGCTGCTTCCTTCGAGAGGGGGAGCTCCTTCCGCTTCGATTCGACTGGTCGGTTGATGCTGATCTCGCTCCTCTGGTGGTGGCCCCTCTTTGGTCACATCTACCGCTCCAGCTCTGGTGTTCGAAGTCACCCTGCGGATCAGGTCGGCTAGAGAGGGATCGCTGCTCAATTGACTTCCAAGGACCTCCGATGGAAACGCTGGCCTCAGTTGCTCCGCCGTGCATCTCCACAGTCGAGTGCGCATAGCCACCCAGACGATGCCCTGGGAGTTCATGACGACCAAACCAGGCCCCACCCATCGAGAGGTGGGGTGCATGCTGTCCCCGGGCTTCCCTCTTCGAAACACGTAGACCCACTGCCCGATGTTCCATCTTCTGAGGGTCCCCGTCTTGGTCTTCAAGGCCTTGCTGATCGCTTCCTTGGAGTCGCTCTCCATGGCCGCTTGCCTTGCTCTCTCTCGTATCTTCATCCTCTTGCGAAATTCCGCCCCGACCTCGTCCATTCCTGCAGGATCGTGTAGAGCGTCGAGATAAGGCAGAAGTCCTCCGGGGTGATCGTTGAGCAGCTCGGCTGGTATTCGGGGTAGCTCCCCAAAGACGAGCTGCGTCGGGGAGTGTCCTCCGTGATTGAACCATCGATTCTTCGCCGCCGTCAGGGAAGCCAGGAACTCGTCTAGCTCTCCTAGAGAGCCGAAGGTGCATCGACCAGACTCAATCTCCTGGACGAGACGTCTTTTCAGCCAACCCCCATGTCGCTCAGACTTGGCGTTCTGCCAGGGGCTCTCCGCTGCACAGACGTGTTGCAGACACCCGAGCTGTTCCAAGCCGCGCTCGAAGGTGCCTTTGAACTCGTTGCCGCCGTCAGAGATGACCAAACTTGGCGCTCCCAAGTGCCTCACCCAGGTCTCGCTGAATGTCCTCCATGCCGACGAAGTTGCCCAGCTCTTCTTCTGGAACTCGGGCTGCGACATGATAATTGGTACCGGTGCACACCATGTTGAGTATGGGGACCTGCTGCTGATCGAAGCGTACCAGGACGTGTTAAGCGGCTTCTCAGTGGTAAACGGCTTCTCAGTGCTAAACGGCTTCTCAGTGGTGTTCTAAAGAAATACATGTTTTTTCCGTATTTTTGTGTCCGCACGTGGTCTCGATTTGTTGTGTCACGTGCGTGCGTGGGGGTCTACTGAAACACGTTGGGTGCAAATGGGGTCGTGCGTATACTTTATATATCGACATGCAAAGAATTATACAATATTGCGATATATATATATATATATATATATATATATATATATATAACTATTAATGTGTGTGTCTGTGTATATTCTAGCAGGTAAACTTATATATATATATATAATACTGTTGGAGCTGAGATTTTTGCAGGCTTGGGTTGTGATCCCACATCCTACATACCCCTGGGAGCATGCGCCCTATATGTATATTGCAGCTGTCGCTGCCGGACTGAGCTATATATCGATCCACATCACACATACGCAGTGGCAAACATGCATGCACGCGGTTCGGTCAATCTGATAGTTAACGAGGACGTGATTGCCCACGCAGGTCGCGCTATGAAGCCATGACACATTATGTATTACTTAGCTGCGGCACAAGGCCACCCATCCCCGCGCGGTTCCGCCATCTGGTTGACGTACGACGAGGATGAGATTTTTGGGATGAAGATCCCCGCCATATGCCATTGGCCAGGTACGGGTATACCGCGTGGCGAACATGCATGACATGGGGGCCGGGATCTGTCCGATCGAAGGATGCATGCATGACTATAAAACCCTATACCTGCGGGTCCCCTGTAATTTCATTCTACCCAGCTAGCGATTGTATGTATCCCTCAGTGGATTGCATGTATCTACCTAGTCGAATCGATGTTCATGGTTTGATCGGTCGCCACACGTGTGGCTGCGCGTGCATGCATGGCGCTGTGCGTTGGCGCATGATTTGCTTGCTTGACGCATGATTTGCCTGCTTGACCGGCACGCAGCATGCGTCACATATGCGGTCGCACGCGTGGTTTGCATATATGTATACGTGGGACACGTGGTAGCATGCAGTTTGTGGTTTCTATGCAAGGTCGCACGCGTGGTAGCAGTACGTTGGAAGCTAGATCAATTTGTCATTCTACGCGGTATCCGGGTTGTATATAGCATAGGGATCGAATGTTGCTTTTAAAGTTCCGGCCGCGTGGTAGCACAAGGCTTGCTCTGCAGTACACGTTGTGCTGTCCAGGATAGGCTTTCGAATTGAGGCTAGGCTATATTTTCGGGCCTTCTTCGATCTAGGAGTTGCACATTCTTGGTTTTAAAGGTTCGGTTGACACTAGCCTGTTGGCGCCTTTTTGACGCAAGGCTTTTCGGGGGAAGGGGGGGGGGGGGCGGGTCAGACCGTAAATTCCGCATCTTCCTTGCGGTTGTGCCTATTTATACGGCTTATCATTCAGTTGGGCCTTGTATACGGTTGCGTGTGCCTTTATATATAATTGGGTGAGGTCTCACGCAGGATCCTGAACTAGGGAAGTGCTTGTATCATGTTGTACCTCTGTAGGCTTTCGGTTGTGCCACCAGGCTTTCGGTTGTGCCTCTTTCGGATTTATTCGGGTTGTGCCTCTAGGCTTTAAACGGTTGTGCCTCTAGGCTTTCGGTTGTGCCTTTAGGCTTTAATTCGGTTGTGTCTTGCAGCTAACAGGCTTTCGGTTGTGTCTTCATAGGCGTTAGTTCGGCTGCGCCTTGAGGATAGGCTTTCGGTGAAACTTCGGTCGCGTCTTGAATCTAGGCGATCTTCCTTGAAGATAGGCTTTCGGTTCGTCGCACACAGCTTTGCAAATATGTGGTGGAAGGCCTTCGATACAGTACAATGTGGCAATGTGGTGATCTAAGGCACTTGCATGGTCCTGGGTTTTTTCTGCGCAATTCGAATTGTAGTCAGTTCTGCAAATAGCATCCTGCAGGTTCATTGCGTATATATTGCGTGTGCAAGGTTGTGACCACGTATACGCATGCACATGCATGCTTCAGGAGTTGAACTGGTGCTCTTCTGCAGGGGCCTCTTCTGTGGCTCGAGGGAGCGGCTGCGACATGTGGGAGGCGTCAGCAATTTCGTCTACAGAGTTAGGCATTTCAATATTTCTGGGCTGGCTGGATGAGCCACTGGAGACCACACTTGCGTAGCCGCTCCCAGCTTTTGGCAAGCAAACTTGAAAGTTCCTGTTGCACTTCGGATGAGGATCTAGCTCGAATCAAAGCAACAGGACAGCTCCTGCCAACTACATCCCTGAAGTTCCGGAGTACACGCCGAAAGTTGAAATGGGTGCTTGCTCTATCATCTGACCGCTACTTCACTTACAAAAGGGTCTTGCTAGCTATGAGGCTACTTAGGATCTCAAAGCCCTTTGCACTTCCTAATGTGCCTGGTTTTGATGAAGAAAGCTGGATTCTGAACCAGGCGGGTGTGATCGTAAGAGTTTTGCAGCGTGCCCGGAAGTGCACTGGCGCCATGGCTGATTTGGAAACGCAGCCTTGGCCAGAGGACTGGACCGACATTTGTGGTTGTGATTATGCATGGCATGCTATTGCCCCCAACATATGTTGTTCATCGTGGCAGGAGGAAGCTACGCCGGCGACCACACCAGAGCGATCGCAGGAGAGACGTGGTCGACATCTTGCCTGTTTAGTTGCAGCTTGGGTTCAATATGTCCCTGTTTCAAGGAGTCGATGGCAGCTGGATCGGCAGCTGGATCGGAAGAGTCTCGATTCGAATCAGTTTGTGCTGCACACGCGAGCTATGCTGCACATTGTAAATGTTTTGTTCTCGCCCATAGGACGTTGTGATCCGCCCTACCAAACGACTTCGGTGCAAAGCGCAGCTCGGATGATTTATGCGCATATAGGAGAGATCGACACAGACTCAAATCAGCGCATCACACTTAAGGACTCTCTGTGTGCCAGCCAGCTCGGCCTGCATTAAATGGTTTCCGCACACGCAGTGTTGTGTCACATGTTTATATGCGTTAACGTAGATGGGGCACCACGTGCAGTGGCTGACGAAATGCAGGATGCTTGCAATTCTGATGAGTGGGCTGGAGATGGCGATTGGCTTGAAGGAGGTGAAGCTCACCATGCAGATTGGTCTGCGGGAAATCCTCGTGACGACTCTGATTGGGGCCCTGACTGGATGGGCGATGACTCTTGGGGCGCGGAAGTGACTGGACAAATGTACCATGCATGACACTGCATGTTGTTTGTGCTCTGGCTTGTCTGTGGAATATCTCAGGCGACGCCTGGCTGTTGGGAACCCGATCCATCCTCAAAGGCTTTGCTGTTGACACTGTAT